AATAAAATTTCACAGTATGGGTGAAGAAAGCGAGCTAGGAATTGAAAACAAAGGAACGCGACTATTTGGCGCTCTTTTTCAAATCCATTGACATGATACGTACGCCCAGGCGTCACTTTTTAGCAGCTCATTCCCCTTTCCAACTAATTGCAGCCTCTCTAACTAACCAGACAAACTACGCAACTAGTTAATATATCACTCTCCATCTGATATATGATAATAACCTACTATCCCCCCACCCAGCACAGATCACAGAGACATGTGCAAAGCCAGTTGTCGCCAGAAAGAGAAAGCAAAGCCCCCTAACTCCTGACTTACCTGTCTTGTTCCTCTGCTCTACCTGCACAATTGGCCACATTGATCCGCCTTTCATCTCTGATTGGAAACTTGACTCTCACCGACAAGTGTCCACCTCCTGCATTTTTCCCCCAGCCGGTGGCCGAGAGCTGCACATTCCGCCCCTTTTCCGCCTTTTCCCCCTAATCTAGCCCCAAACTTGACCCCTCTTTTATTAGCCAAGTCACTCGCGGAAGGGGTAAATAGGACTCTGATTAGACACAAACCACATCGGTACTTCAGATTAAGACGGACATTGGATGTTTGAGGTTATTTCGATTCAAAAGAGTCCAACTGCCCCCCGTAATAACTTCCGAAGTGCAACCCAGAAACGAACTATTATGTTTAGTTCAAAAATTTGAACCAGATGTTTGTTACATCATTTTCTTAATTACCAAAGCGTGCTTCAACTTCAATTCGATTTTAGAAAATATCTTCCCATTTTTTTCACTCCTGCTTGCTACTGTTTTGATACCGTCAAATTCGGTTCACCATCCAAACAACTGTACAATATTTTTTTAAAATAATCTTGAGACCAAACCCGGAGTCTATGGAAAAAATGCTTGTCATACAAATTTCATATAAATTGTATGATATGCGTTTTTCTACAGGAAAAAATACTAACTTGAGATGAACATTTTTTTAATCCATTTTTTGGTTGCAAACTTGCTTCTGGGGTCGAACATACATTTCACGAAAAAAAATTTGCAAACAAAATTTGAATTTGTGTCGATAGCGTAGTCCAGGTTGAGTTTTTAACCAGGGGCGGATTTAGGGGGGGGGGGGGCGGACGCCCTATTCCCCTCAGGGATTCGACCCCCTGTCGACCCAAAGGGTCCCCCCTTTGGTACTTGTTAAGAAATCCATTTTTGGCCGACCGACCCTAAAGTTTTTCTAAAGGCGCTTTCGGCGCCAAAATATACTAACTTTGAGGGGGAGCGCGCGCCAAAAAAACGCGATTTTTTGTCAAAATTTTCCAAAAAGTGCCCAAAAATGGCTTTTTTGACCTGTTTCTTAAAAAGTTTGCCTGCGGCGCAGAAAATTTGGCAAAAACAGTGTCTTTCTAATGCTTTGAGAGAACTCGGAAAATCAATTTGATCGACCTAAAAAAAGGTCGTCAAAATTTTCGAAAATTTTTCAAAAAACCGCCCCCCCCCCCCTCGAGAAAACCCCCCTGATCTTAACATTACAAGCAATTGTTTTTTATAAACACAATAATTTTTTTGTTTTCATATGCTGAAATAAACATAAATTTGTGAAAAAAAAAACAGGACTTTTTACTCAACCACCGAGTTTTTTAAAGTAAAATTTTTCTAGCCATATACAAAATTTTAGCTTTTTTGGTATATAGTTCTGTGCGAAAAAGTTAACATTAACTTACATGGCTATTATCACTAAATGCAGTCTATATGCGTGGTATCTGTCAGTTACACTCTGGGTTTTTTTATGTCAGAAAAACCTTGGTTAGCTGGGTCTGGATGAAACACAAAATTTTGAAACACAAAAACTTTGCAATTTCATTTATGGAAAAATGCTTGTCATACATTTTTTTAGCACAAAAACTTGTTACTTAAAATCAAAATGTGGTAAAAACTGCTTAATTTAAATATTCATAGAATGGAAAAAATGCTTCTTATGCTAGTTTCAAACTGTTTTAATTAGCTCTCATTCTGCAAGCTATTCACTTATTTTTACCGCTCGTACTTGAGCCAATCAATTATCTTCGAATTTTTTCAATTAAATCATGTTGGTTGGGGTTTTGCCCAGGCAGCTACCGGCTATCCTGGATTTTGCTTAGGTTTTGTAGTCAGTTTTTTCTCTGCTACAGCAAGCGGCTATCACTGTTAAGTTATGTTTAGTTTGTTTAGAAAACCTTTTAGATATAAAGTTTACAGAAAAGGTTTTAGTTTATTTAAAGTGGAAATCAAATATAAAATTGTCAAAACTTGCCCAAGATGGGTCGAAATTTTTGATGCTTTTTACATGAAAAACTGCATGCTTTGACAATACAATGATATCAAAAAGTTTTTTAAATGTAGTTCAGTTTTCAAAAAAATAAGATTTTACAAACAAATAATTTTCATAAATGAATTATTCACTTTTTTTGCTTAAATAGCATAAATTAGATCTCAATGAATCAGAGTTCGTAGCATTATCAACAGATTAGCACGTTTTTTTTAGTCTATTTGTGGCTAGTTTTTAAAAGAATCAGTGGATAGAACTCTGGAGATTGTGCAATTTGTCACACTTTAACGCAGCCCGTTGCTATTGTTTCTCCACATATGAAAAAATAACCAAATATTTGTGCTCAGGTGGTTTGTTTTCACCAGACAAATTTCGATTTTTTAATTAGCCATTTTTGACGTAATTTTTTAATATAACTTGAAAACTATTGTTGCTCAAAATCAAAACAATATTTCACCTGAGATCATTTTTTGTAAAGTTATGGGGTTTGAACATTTTCAATTTGGCCAATTATGAATAATTACTCGCTGTATATTTCGTGCTAAGAACACATGAGCGGAATTTCAACGCGTTTTATAAATCGTTTTTAATTCAAACTGAGACATGCTATTCGGTCTTATTAATAATTCGCTACATGAAAATTATATCACTTTATTTTACATAGCGTCTGAATGGATGATTTCCAAAAAAAACTTTAAAAAAGGTTGAAATTTTTACTTTAAAAAATAATTTATTCTTTTTTAAAGAGGACACTACTTCATAGACCTTAAAAGACGGTCGAAACATTCAAAATTCTGCCTTGATACGAGAAATCTTAATTTTGATTTTGTTCGCGAAGTGCTGCCTCGCTGTTGCGTCTATATACCCTCTATTCTGGCTTCTTTTAAGAGAAAACTAGATGGTAAGAAAAATGCTTCAAATGTTTCCAGTTTCCTATATTTCGCTTTGTTTTCGAAAAAAAAACTTCTATAATTTTTTTGACACATGGAAGGCATTTCTAAAATGCAGTTTTGACTAATTGATTGCTTCATTTCTGATTAAAAAAATTTTTCCTACTCAAAGCTCAAAATGACCTGCATGTAATTGCTTGGTCTTACTCGGTGCAAAAAATTAGATAAAGGAGGTTCCACTGATAAACACAGATGACAGTTTTCAAGACCCGGTAGCTTCATTATTAGAAAATTGATCGCAGGAAAAGTACCTTTATGCTCCTAAAACCTGGGTGATGATGTCTTGCATATGGTATGAAAAAGTTCCGTAAAAATTGTCATTAACTGGCTCAAAAGCTTTTAAAAAAATGACAACAAATACAATAATCCCTACAACCTGTCTCCAGTAGTCCAAACAAGAACTCAGTATATACTAAAGACTAATGTTTTGGCCCACTAAAATACTCAAAATCGCCTTTAAATTTTTGCACAATCCACTTAGCAGCCTTTTGCAGAATCCACTTACAATTCAAAAATACACAGTAACCTCGTAATCATTGGAAGATTGAAAACAAAACCTAGACTTTTTCATGTTTAACAACACAAAAAAATTATTTGTGATTAAGTTGTTCTATATCTATTTACAATGATCGGTGATTGAATTTTTTTGGAACCAGTATCAGATGTTTGAAAGCCTAGAAAATCGTTTAGAAATTTTTACAATCGTTGCTTGACGAAATCAGTATTGCAGCCCTATGATTATTAAATTCATTTATTTTTCTAACTTTTCCAGCTGTTCGCATGCTGATTAAAGCCGGATCAAAAAGTTGTTCACCTTTTTAGACCACAAACGTGATATAAATCAAGCAATCAAGTAGCATTTTTAAGCAGCAATAATATTTATTTAATGCTTTTGACTCGTTTCCTGTTGTAGGCGCCACTGTCCTTCTGAAATATTAAATAAAGTCTGCGATAAATGAGCAATTTGGAATCAGTTTCAAATAAAAAATTCAAAACCACTGCCGGTCCATTTTCTGTGCAAAAAATAAGAAGGGAAAGGGGTGCTCAGGTGGGGCGATGTTAATGAGCAGCTAAACCGGGGGGTTTATGAGGGGGTTAAAATCAGCCGAGTGATTAATTTTTAACAGCAAATTTTGTCACTTTTGTCCTACAAATGCCTTTCACAAAAATGGACACATTTCGCCATCTCTTTTGATAGGAAGTGATTGTAGTTTGTAGTGTCTTCAGCCTCATTGGATATATTAAAGAGGTTCAATTGAAAAAGAAACACCTGATGTAATTGTTTTTTGTTCTTTTGAAAGCAATATTTCAATTATTCCAACAGCAAATAAATTGCTACTTAAGTTATAACGCGTCTTGTTTCTTTACAAAATCGCACAAAGGAATCATGGGAGTAAAGTTGTAAAAGTGGACATCCAGCTAAATATCTGATGATCAAATTCCAATGCTGCGCATCAAGTTTTAATCAAAACCACATTCCAACATCGAGCAAAACAAAGCCTCATTTTTAATTCACAAGGTTATGAAGTTATTGACCTTTGTGTACTAATCCTTGGAATTTACTTTGATACTTCTTATTTATAACCAATAAGTTTCAGACTCTCATATCGAGGGGCGATCTTCAAAAAATCTACGATAAGATTGCTATATTTCATATGTTGGATGACCTTAATCAAGCTTAATGAGGAAAAATAAAATTTTTCTATAAGATTAAATTTTGGATCAATTTTGGAGAAAATTGACAGAATTTTTAAATAGAACAAAAATAGACTCCATATTATATGATATATCTACAAATTATATAACTCCAAAGTATATAAACGAACATCTAGGATTGTCAAAACATTAAATACGTTGTATTTGCGAGTTTGATTGAGTAAATTTTCGAAGTTTTGAGTGAAATGTCGAAAAAATATTCTAATTGCGTTGAATTGCTAAGCACCGATTGTTGAAAGTGTCTGAAAATTTACAAAGTCTGAAGACTCAGCTTCTAAACTCTTTCAGTTTTTGGACCATTTCTGACTCATTTGCAACTGTCGGTGAAGTTTTCTGGGGAATTCCTAAACTTTTGAAAAGAAATTCGCTCTCCATCAAAGATGTTGGAATTTTTCCAGTCGGAGAAAACTCAGAAAGCTTGTTGTTCAAAGCCGCCTGTGAAACATGGCTGGGCAAATACGGATTTTGGAAAATCGAATTGGGCGAAATTTGTTGGATGCCATTGGGAGAATGTGACAGCGAAGTGGGTACTTGGTTTCGTGGATCAACGAAGCTATTCGTAGATGCGACTCGCTGGTACAACTGCTGCAACATAGCCGATCTCATCAAAAACGAGTTATGAGGATCGAAAACATTGTTGTTGGCGTTCCCTGGAGCTCCGAATGCCGCCGCGGCTGCTGCAGCTGCGGGCGAAAGTTGCGGCAACTGGTGCCCTCCGACTCCCAAGCCCCCATGTCCAGGTGGGTTCTGAGGTCTCTGCAAGAACCCCTGCAACTGAGATGCCAAGTTGGTCTGTTCGAATCCCTGAGCTCGGCTGGCTGCAGAAGCCAGAATGCTACTGATTTCCGAGTGGTTGATACCTCCTGGCAGTTGGTTCAAGCCTCTTTGCATCATAAGTGAGACTGGGATCTGAGGATTGAAATGCGGGTTCCCGGGCATGCCTCGAATCGGACTCTGGTCCTGGAAGAGGGAGTTCTGAGGCGTTACAGTAACGTTCGGTGCACTCATGCCGAAATCAGGCTGGCGGTTTGTGGTTTGTTGCACTGGCGTGTATGAAGGGGAGTGAAACTTCATGTGTTTTGATACTGGTGGTGAAATTGAGGTGCATTTCGAATTGGAAGAGGGTGGCGACATGTTGTCTGAGGGTCTCTTTCGGTGATTTTCCGACTGGTTCGGGGTTGTCTTTGATTTAGCATCTAAAACAAAAATATTCGCATTGAGTTTCAAATTGAAAGACCATGATGGCAAACATTAGCCGTACCATTTTTGAAGTGTTAAAATTTAAAAAGCATAAAATTGACGTCAATGTGAGTTTCTCGCATTTTTAGTCTTTGTTGCTTTAGAGCAGCCGAATTCAGCTTGGGGCTTAGACTAGATTTTTCTTCTCGATGAAGTGTCAAATCTTTAACCACGAAGCCTGCAGCAATTTGGGCAATTTAGCGACTGATAAAAAACTGATAATGATGTTCAATGCCGGGGGCGATCCGGTCTTTGTCAGATAGAAGAATTTTGCTCGTGTAACAACAATAAATACTCAAGTCCGCAACGAGCTATTAAGAGGCGCCGAGAGGCTTAACTATATGCTTGACTTCTGGCTAATAGACCTCTTATAATGATTTTGTTATTTTAGAGGCTCATTTTTGTAGCTGTAGTACTATTGACTGTATATACGTGTGTACTTTTTGGCTCTTGTCACGCATAAGCTTATTTGTGAGCCGGTATTCGAGATTTACCTGCGCAGTTTTCATGCCTTGTCATTCATTTAGACACCTAAGGCGTTACATCTAGTCGTTATAGCTCTTAAGTGTGCCGGATAATGATAATTTGACAATTGAAAGCTTTCAACTTGGCCAGAAAAGCTGTTAAAAATCGTTCAGCGCCAGTCGAGTGATGTAAGAATGGCGCCTAACATAACATATAAACTTCTACCTGTGGCCTAATTAGAGGTGATTAAATGAGAAAATTACAGGTAGGTGAGCCATAGAAGAGAAATTACGATTAGAAATTGGTGAAAAATTACTTTGCTCTATTGTAGTCGCACTGGTCGGAGACAGGTTGTCTGGCGCCCCCGTCCGGCCCACATCTCCCCGCCCGCCGCCAGACACTGCGACTGGGTGTTTAGTAGAACCCATTTGATCAACCTTAACACTCGCCTCTCTCCCTAATCCCTCATCAGATAAGGACTGCGGCGGCATCTCGTGATTATGGACTGCTTCCATTTCCACGTTCTCACACCGTCGCGTTTCCGGATCCTTGACAACATCCGAAGTTGTCGAGGACGATCCAGGAGAGATTGAGGACGAGGTCTTCTCGTGACTGAGGCTCTTTTCACAGTCTGATAGGGGGGACTTCACAGGTAGGGTATTGGGCGAGTTGATTGAGGAGTCTAGGGGGTGAGATGAAGTGTCGACAGGTGACGTCAGCACGTCAATTTCTTCGTCACTGTCGTCGTTTTTTCCATCACCATCAAGTGATTCCGATTTACCTCTAAAAAGTAAACATTTAGTTTAGTAAAGATTCGCTTATGGGATTCATCAAAAAAAATCAGCAGATAAAAACACTTACTTTTTGGATGACTTTCCTCCACCATTTTCTCGGAAGCCTTTCGCAAATGGGTTGTGGTTGATTTTGAGCTGAGTTATCTGAAACAAAAACCGAGATTTCAAAAAAGGACCATGTTCACAATTTCACTATGGGTAGTCTGGCCTGGTAATTCTTCAAGACACACTTTTTCGCAATTCCATTTTCCCACTTTGTCATTTTTAGCCTTAAGTTGTGTTAATTTTACAGAATTGACCAATGGGCGGGCAGAATGAGTATAAAAGAAAATAGGGGAAAATAGGAAATTCGAGCTTGTTCGCTCTGCTCTGAATAACTGCGCTATCAAGCTAATTGAGCGGGTACATTACAAGAAAGAAAGTGATATCAATTTGTGTGGCTCGGGCGGTGGCGGCGGTCGATAGGTGATAATGGTGATTAAAGCTCTTGGGGAGCATCAGCGACATAGGTGAAGAATATTTCACTTTGAAGATAAAAGCCACTAGCCCGTTTAAACTGCCACTGCAGTCCATTGCTTAATGAAACTTCCTCTCAATTCTGATGCTTTCTGATCTATTCATCAACCTGATGAGAGCGAAATTATCTGCATGGTTGATTAATGAGCCCAAGTGGCTCATATAATGTTTTTACTATCAGCTAAAGTGCATTTATGTAATTGAATTCCCAATTTGTCGTCTAATTTTAACATATCGACCGCCTCGCAACTTCAAGTGTAACTTTTGAAGTGCAATGGGTTAGACTTGGCGTCTGCCAAAATTAGCAAATCTTGCTTTTTATTAAAATTTCCGAAGTGATTTTTTCATCAATCTCTGCAATGATTCGCTTGAAACCCCCGATAAAAATAACACTGATGCTGGAAAATGGCAAAAAATCAGTCGGTTCTTAACCCTAAACATCGACGTGGCGAGATGGTGTGTAAGGAGTTACGTAATATATTAACGCTTTGCAATGTGGTTATGTAATAGTTACCTTGTCATTCTGATATGCGGTGACTGCTATGAATTGTGTCTCGGGGTAGACGAAAGTCCTGAAGGTGGCATACTGCAGTTTCATGATGTCACTGGCACATACAAGATGGAACCTCGGCTGGTATTTGTGCATGGAGTTCAGAATCGTCTAAAACACACAACAAAACTTAGAATTTTCAATCATTTCTAATAAAAAGTTCCCATATTTTTGTTCAGAACCATTTTGGTTTCGTTTTTCTATCACAATACGTCAATAAGATTTACTGTTGATTCAATCGGCTCAAGATTGGTTGGATAAATCGAATTAGAAAATGCGATAATTTGGTTATTTGTTGTTTTGTTCCAATTTTTTATCTGTTTAATTAATGAGTTTTTTTCGACTTATTTCAGTTTTGTTCACGGTTGAATGCGGATGGATGGAGCGACGAATGTACGATTTTTCGCCTGTGTGGTTTCAGTGTGAGCGCTACAATGGTCAGGTAGTCTGTTAGGCGCCAAAGGGAAATATAAGTGTTGCCAATTTGTAAAACAGCGGCGAGCTTTATGAGGCGCATTGTCCAACCGGCAGCTGAATTTCACGCCAGCCCAAAAACCGCTCAGAGGCGGGGAACGGGGCGACATAATAACCGCACAACCAAGCCTAGGGGGGTTAGTTGACCGTCATATCAACATAAAACAACAAAAACAAAAAAAACGGTGAAAAAATAATAAAAAAACTGTAATGAACCCCTCATTAAGCGTGACGGGATAGGCGACCAGTTGTCTGAGCTAACTGCTGGCTGAATCAAAGAGAAAATAATGGACAATTATTAATGGGACAACCAATTGTCCATTCAGTCTAGGCTATTGTCCAGTTTCTGTTCAAACTTAAAAAAAACACGGCTTCTTTTGTTCAAAACCATTGACGCTACTTAGTTTTACAACCAGATATGAAATATGATGAAAAAGGCGAGTAAGGGAGCGCATTAAATAGGTCTTTTTGAAGTCCTTTTAATTTCACGTCTTTCATCGCATTTGTAGTGTTTTGTACTCTAATTAGCTCGGACAAGTTTCAGATGATGAGGATAATGAAGAACATGACTGATTTTGGCACCTGTTCCGCTGAGTTTCAAACGGATAGCCACAGCAGCTTTGTAACTCCAGACAGTATGGAGCGGGTCGATTAAATAATAAATTATTTTGCCTCCTTCATTCTGCCAGGCAAGCACTTTTTACAACTACATATCACAGAAATACTGTCCACTTTTGTTGGCCAGTTTTATGACAAAATCGATGTTTTTATGCGTTGCCTGATTTATGAGCACAACAAGCTCAAAAACAATATGTTTTTTAATTTTTAATCAGCTTCCTCAATCTAACTCACTTCTAATTAGAACATTTTCCCCGGTTATTCAATTTAAAAGCTTTTTTGATAATCTACAGATTTTGAAAATTTTAGCGGCAAAAAGTCTGATTTTTTGAAACTGGAAAAAACTACTTTTTTGATGTTTTTGAAGTTTTGGCGAAGCTTGAGAAAATGAGCTGATAGTGATACAAATGGCTACGGGATATGTCTATTAATATCATGAATTGGTAATTAGATTTTGTGGCTGGCTGAAAAGCCAGGAAATCTCGGCAGCGCCAAGTGTCCGAGGCCGGCCGGCTAAATCCAGCGCAAATTCCGCTTTAGCAAGGTGGAGTGGTGCAGATTTGAGAAGTATCGAATGAATAAATGACAAAGTAGTGGTTGCCGAACGGCGCCTAGAGTCTCCACGTTTCAACAATGGCCCTTGTTATGGCCAGTAATGGATAGTGAAAGCCATCAAAAGCCATCACTGGATTATTAAACGTCCGTAGCCGCCGTCACGTCAGTGAAACGCCGGATCGAGTCTAAGTCGCTTTCTAAGCCGTTAATCTCCAAAATGTCGTCTCGACTGGACAAACAATCGCACAAAAATCAACCGCCAAGTGATTAAATTTCACACAAAAAGCCAAGCAACTGGACTGCCAAAACAGCACAAAAGCAACAAAAAATGAAACTTGGATTTGATCCGATTAAAATTTGGGGCTGAAACAGGGAACAAAGAATTGGATCCTAAATGGCTAATTAGTTGATCAAATTCTTCAGGAAAAAAGTGGCCAAAGTTCGTCAATGTATTTGGTTCGTGGGCTAACAAGATGATAATATCGAGTCGCGACTCCACAGTGCTGTAAGCTGCGAGGAGTTTCTTCGATTCACGAGACGGAATGGCCGGATTTCAAAATTATACAAAAAATCTTGTCGCCCTTTTGTGGGTCAACCAAATTAAACTTAGCTACAAACTAAAAATAAGCCCAAACAAAAGTTAAACCCTGTTTTGGCATACAGTTCTACGATGAAAGTGAAGTGCTAAATAACATTTCAATTATCTAGAAAGACTGTTTCTGGACGCCTTTTGAACAAAAAATGGGTTTTTGATTTCTCGAAGCGCTCCCTCACTCAAATTTCTTATAATGATAACTTTCAACCAACGGAATTACTAAGATTTACACAATTAAAATTCTATATTCAAGACAAATGAGTTAAATTGAAAACCAAAAACTAGATTGAGCATTAGGCATGATTTAGAAGACTACAATAAGTGATTTCCCCAATGATAAGTGGTTTTCCGCCCACCAAGTGGAATTACAGACTGATCAAAAAGTATACAAAAAGAACATTTTTTTAATGAATGTTCAGAATGAAAACTAGACTCACGAATCCGTTTCTGTCCGAGATGTTGTTTGTGAGTTTGAGTTTGTGGAACGAGATGGACTTGGACATCCACTGTTCGCCGGTGGCGGGGGAATCCGGGTGGATGTACATTCTCTTCGGCATCTCCGGGTCGCTCTTGCCAGCTACCATCCAGCGGGAGTTGTGGAACTTGTAGCGACAGTCGTCAGAGGGGATCACGTCTAAGAGTAGGATGTATTTGGCCCGCTTGTCCAGACCACTGATGCGCGTTTTCAGAGACGGAAACATTCGTCTGCAACAAAAACAAAGCCATTTATTAAAGTCTTTAGGCACGAAAACATATCTATTAATGTTTTTAGGCACGAGAAACTTGGTTTATTTCATTTTTCAGTGCTTCCTTCTGATTTTCTTTCAGAAAACTCATGCAAAAAAAAGGTTTACTTTTTAGCCTACAAAAATCTTCTGGTAATGATTTTAAAAAAATTGCGAATATATTTTAGGCCAAAGTTAATTTTTTAGGGAAAAAGGAACGAATCGTCGGTGATTTTTATTATCTTTGCTGCGGAGTAAGGTTGAATTTCAAATCTTATCGAAAATAATTTCAGCATAATCAATGTAAGATCTAACTTTGAGAAAGTCTTGCTAAAATAGGAAAATGGAAAAGTACAATTGAACTGAGAAATCGACCAAACTTTAAACTCACCGTCCTGACTTTGTAATGACCATTTCCGTGTTCAACTTGTGGAAATCATTCCACAGTTCTGCACCTTCCAAAGTGATTTTTGGGTTGTCCTGGGGGATTGGTTCTGGCTCGAATGCCGGATGGAGACCCAGAGGTCTTCCGAAGTAGTCGGTGGGTCCGTAGGCTCCGTGCATGGATCCCGCTGTCAGTTGGTCCAGTTTGTGGGGAGGGGCTATGAGGGTGGTGCCATTCATGACTGCGTGACCAGGAAGGGTAAAAACATTTGGGTTGTGAGTCGGCTGGGACAAGATCGAGCTCATCGAGAAACTGGAACTCTTGGTCGAGATTGGACTTCGTTGCGATTCGATTGTTGGAGCAGCTAAAAAATTACACACTTATTACAGCAAAAACGTTCACATTCAGAGAAAATATTCTACCAATTCAGAAACTGAAACTTACGAGTCATCTCTGCAGTTTTCTCTTCTGGCTGTTGATAAAATTGTAAAATAGTAAGAACTGAAGAATGTTAAGAATTGGAGCTTTTTATCTAGATATTTAAGAGGTTTTACTAGTTATAATTCCATGACAAGCTGGAAACTGAAACAAGCAGTAGTTTCCAAGTCGTTTTCCAAGTAGTTTTTTAAAAGTTTTGGAATTTTTTTGCTGTTTTTGAGCAATTTGGACAGATTTTTAACAGTTGAGTAAATGTGATATTGATCTGTTTGTTTTCAATTTGAAGATCCACTCAAGTGCCTGTCTCTCTTTCTCTGATTCTCTGTTTGTTTAAACAAATACTCTACTCTGATTGGTCAGTCATCTTAGATACTTGACAAGTAGTTCTGACGTCTGATTCGTCGACTGTTTCCGGACTACAATTTGTCGGTTCTCAAATGTTCAATAAAAATGAAATTACACGGAATAAAAAAATACGGATTTTTTACTCCAATATCCAACGTCGATCAGTTTATTTTTCCTTTTGTTTATTTAGGGAATCCTTTATTTTTCTGACTAAAAGAACTTGTAAAATGGTTTCAAAAAGTCGGATATCTTCTAGTTGACTTTGATGAGCAATCAAAGTGACGGTTGGGTTTAAGCAGGATGTTCTTGTTGAGGTGTCAAATATTTCAAAAGGGTCCAACTTTATTTTCCTGATGTCGTGATGACTGAAATGTCTTGATCAAATAGGATGGTTAAGAGGAAGTATTTAATCTAATAGAAGGTATATTTGGTTATCTTCAAGTACCAAACAACTTGACAAGAATTAGCCCTCAAAACCGGTTTTTTGCACTTTTCTGGAAAGATTCGCAAATAGATACGTCCTTTTCTTGAACATAAATTCTGCAAATAAAGATTATAATTGAACAGTGTGTTTTGATATTAAAATCACACAAATAGACAAAGCAAAAATCTCTCAAGTCTCTAGTTTTATTGAAGTTTTGATTAAAACCTGTAAAACTAAGTTATTTTTTATCGAAAAGGTAGCCATAAAGGTAATTAAAGAATCTGAGTTGTGATTATGAGACAAAACTAATTATTGTTATTGGTGTCGTAGTTTTTGTTTTGTTTGCTTGTGCTCTTTAGCAATTTGTCTAGATTAATCAGCCGCATTTTCTGTCAAAACAGCCCAGCTCCGGATCGAGTTCCGGAGTTGTTTTGATCAAACCGGCGTCCCTGGTCGCACCATAGGTGAGTTTTTGGCTCCCGTCGCATCAGATAACTGCTAAAATTGGTCCGAAATGGTTCAATTGTGGCACCAATGTACATAAACACACCATGCTACAGTCCTAGTGTAATGTCTTTTATGAACGTCTCTAGGACGCTAGCCTTGATACAACTTTCTCTGAACTCAAAAAGAAACACTTCTAATTAGACTTCTTTTTGGTTTTCGCCGCGACGTCAGGGGTTCTTTGGGCTGCGCCGGCGGACTCTTTCGCGGGTAATCGTCCAATTAGAGCAATCTCGCCGCCTGGCTCCATACTTTTTGGGGGTCCCCTCCGCTCGCAGGTGAAAGTGTGAACTAACAAGGCTGTCGCTTATCTTAGTTAATGCTAACTTAGTGAATTTCCAATTATTATCACGAAAACTAAATCCCGAACATAGAGATTTGTTGACCGGGCACGAAGAAAAGGTTTATTATCTCGACTGAACCAGAGCCGCGTTGGAACCCGGGTCTAGCCCCGGCGACTCTGGCCCAATTAAGAGGGATTCAATTTAACCCCTTTTTAATCCCCACAAAGCTATGATATTGTGACAAAAGGTTGCCAACGTGGTGTGATAAAATCACAATTAGCCAAACCTGCAAAAACAAACACTTCACTACGTCTTAGCACACAGCTCAAAATACATGCAACGCATTAGTTCAATCAATTTAAGTAAACTAAAAACCAATTAATGAAAAATTGTACAGGTACGAAAGAACACTCTTTAAAGTCACTCAGAATCTTTTCATGCTCATCTTTTCGCCGAGAAAAGCTTTTAATTAATTCAAGTTCAATTACGGCAGCGCTTTCAAACAAACGCAGCTTAGTTGAGTATGGTTGAAAATGGTTTTAGTAATTAATGCAAGGTACGATTATGGCAAGGACATTTGTTTTAGTCAAAAGTTTAGCACTGTCTTATAAATGTGTTGCATGCATGTTGAATAAAGTGAAGAGTTAATTAAAATTATTGATTTTTGCTGTTAAGAACTACATGAATGCTGTGAGAATTGGCAAGTTTTTCAATTGCTTCTTCAATGAGTATCTATGGCTCCATTCTCGTATAGTTTAAAGTGTCCCTCCTTGAGGTACTAGCTGTTCCACGGAACAATGTTCATAAGCATGGAACATGCCGCTCTAAACATTTTGAGAATATTTTCCGGCAAATGCTTGAGCTCAAACTAAGAATTTATGATAAACGTGGTGCGGGTAGTAACTTATCTGATTTTTGATTTCCAAATTTTTTTTTTGTTTTTCAATGCCCGATCAGAGCCAGGTTTCAATTCCATGCCAACTAAAACATTTCTGCAATTGACAATTCATGACTCTCCACGACATATTCCAATCACATTTATATCAGCAAAGACAGAAAATTATTTTTGGATTTATTTACAACAGTTTTTGTCAATTTTTGTGGGTAAGGGTGTATCTAAAATGAAATGCTAAGTTTTTAATAGCTCAATTAATAAGTAAAACGAGTTGATTAGCTGGCGTAAATTGTCATTGAATCATTAGAGAGTGGCGCGTGATGATATAAAATTTAAAAGCAAGCCTTCACATTTCAAATCAAAGTACGACGAAAAATAAACTTTAGCATGGTGTAGCACTCAATTTCATCTAATAATTTTTTGGTGTATCTACCCAGTGCGGAATAAAATGCGAATCCAAACGGTTTGATAATTTCAGTGGTTGGAAAGCCAGATTACCCAATGATACGAAATGCCGAAATGCCGGAATGTTCCAACCAGCTTCATAAAAAGACAAAAAAAGTTTTTTTTGTTTCTTTACTTCAAATTAGTGTCGGCTTTAGTGCGTGATGTGATTTGAGAACTATAAAACCGCGTATAAAAGGAGTAAATTAGGCATAATTCCCAGACTTGTCTTCAGTAAAAAAAGAATGACAAACAAAAAAATTAAAACACTTAAAATAAATTCTTTTGAAATTTACTAAGATTTGCACAACAATTTTCTATTTTTACGGAACAATTTTCTTGCCAAGAAAACGCTAAATCAATTTTCAAGCAAGTAGCTAAAAAATTTCGATCTCATTTATAAAAAAAATACAAAATGTTTTTTTTTGTCTTTAAATAAATGTCGGTTTTGGTGCGTGTTGATATATAAACAACCGCTTAGAAACTTAGTCAACTACATATTATCGATAATATTTGTCTTCAAAAAATTACTGACCAACAAAAAAATTTGAATCTTTAAATCTTTCCTAGTTTTTCATGCAAAAAACTTTATAAAGTTTTTTAGAAAAACCTTATTGCCAAGGACGCGCTAAATTGTACATTCAAAACTAGTTTATTTTCTTTATAGTAAACGTCAGTTTTTTAGCCTAAAATTTAAATAACTTTTATAAAACGATCGTTACTTGATCGCTTTACTCGTTCGAAATTGACCTAAATGTCCAAAATTTTAAACCACTTTTTCTCAAAACTGGGATAATATTTTGAAGTCGAATCACGACTGAAAGATCTTTATTATGATAAATCACTCGACTCATTCCGATGATTTTTTGTGGTACCCGATTTTGCGAGGAAAACGAAAAAAAAAAACTGACCAAAATACAAAGTTCCTTCACATTTTGAATGATCGGAAAAAAAATTTTTCTACGGTTTTCTGATGCTTGAGTAAGTTGAATTTGGGCTTCAGAACTTGGCTATAAGGATTGAAATGAGATTTGATTTTAACCACTGAAAATGGGGTAAGCACTCGGGTAAACTTTAGTTTTTATTTTTTCTTTATTTCTTACGCAAAATCAAGTACCAAAAATGATCAGACCACAATGGTGATATATCATGTTGAAGCCCTTGCAGTAGTTATTAAAACAACTTTAAGAGTTCTAGTTTTTGGTCCAGATCCTTTCACTCCAGCACGCACAAAAAATGAAATTAGTTGTTAAAAAACTTTTTTTGTAGTTCTTTCAGAAGATGGTTTGGACATTTCGTGCTTTTTCCACAGAAACCAGCTATCTTTGTTCTTTTTGCAGGGTTGATTTACAGCAGACTACCTTGCTGTTAATTAGTCTGAAAAGCAGGCCAGGAATTTTCCTAGAAAGTTTTTATACAACGGTCAAAAATTGTGTAAATTTAGAATTGAAATTTCTGCTACAAAGTTTTTTTTATTAGAAAATTGAGCCGGAAAAGCAGAGCACCTAGTATTTTTTCTAGTTAATTTTACGGCCATTTAGGGAAAAACAACTACTTCTGTAGTTTTTCGCATCTTTTAGCGTTTAATTCATGAAAAAAAAATATCAGTCAAAGTATGAATGAACTCAAACATGATGGCTGCAATTGCTTAAAATAGTTTTTTTTTTACTTTTTTTGAATGTAAACAAACGCTTTTTCGCCATTTGCTGTCATTTTGAATCAGAACTTGGGAGACTTATTCGAAACATGTATAAATCAGCTAAACAGCCTACAATAGTTTTTTTTAACTTTTTTTGAATGTAAACAAACGCTTTTTCGCCATTTGCTGTCATTTTGAATCAGAACTTGGGAGACTTATTTGAAACATGTATAAATCAGCTAAACAGCCAACAAAAAGCAAAAGATTTTAATAATTTAAACTAAATGTAACAAAAAGTTATTTAAACACTTCCAATTTGCCAATTTCTTGTCTCAATTTCGTCGCACAGAATTTCAATCATTCATATATTTTGTGAAACAGTGTGCACCAAAAGCTCATAGTAATTCTGCTTAGAGCCGTTGCTATGGTCTTTTGTTTTAGAGATTTAAGGTAGTTTTCCACAGAAAAAAAATGAGCATTTTTGTCCATCCTCTGAACACCTTTTGAACTCTCTCACAGAACCGCCTGTTCCTCTCTCACAGAATCAAAAACTAGATATATTTATCTATTGCTATCATATTGGTTGTTAGATTGGTTCTTTTTTACTCTTGATTAGTTTAAATTGAATGCAATAAGCATTAGTAGTTTCAACTTTTGCTAATTTAAGAATCCTTCACTGGTTTTAAAAGTTTTTGTCAAAGCTTCTCTGCAGATTTTTCTATTTTATAAAAGTCATGATAAACTGAGACAAACAAAACAGTTGTTTGATACATCAGATGCCTATTTTTTTTGAATTTTAATAATTATTTTTTATCTCAGCGTTATTGAAAGCTTTTTTATGTATTCCTAATGTATTTTTAATCATTTTTTTGTCTCTGTATCGAATTTTAACAGGGACGGTAAGATAGAAATCAAATCTCAGGAAAAGTATGTATGGGGACTTTCGTCAAGAATTACAAAAAAGACTTGATAGCGCGAGATTTTGCACATTTTGTAAGCAGTCGCACGGGCATGACTTTTTTTAAAGAGGGTCTTTTTTTTTGAAAAGTTTTGTCGAACCAATTTTTTTTTTTAGTTCTACCCCTTTGATTTTGTGAGCTCTGCCGAAAGCCTCGAAAGGCCATCTTTAGCAAAACTTCAGTGCGAGTTGTGTAGAGCTGGTTTTTGTGACACGTACTTCGGTCAAAATCAGTGTACAACAAAGACACTTTTGGAAAAAATGGTTTGTTCCGCCAAAAATGGATGTTGTAATGCCAGATGAAACTCGCCGACTACAAGGAAAAGTTGAAATCGTTTTAAACATTAAAGTTGAACTATACAAATCAA